TAAACTGTTGGTAGGACACGACATGTCAGGAGTGGGCCGTCTTCCCTTTATCCTCCTCTTGCTTCACAGTTAATTGACTACAAGTGTTCATTTGCCTTCGAGGAGCAGTCATTAGGGCTGAATAACAAAATTTAGCTCCGCAATAGAGCAGCCAGAGATCAATGGGTTAATTTAATTGCCCTCGCATGTGGTGTATTGTAGCAGGGCAATTTGCAGAGCTTTATAAGGGAGTCATGCCGTTTTACTGTGCTTAAAAGTGCAAAGAGATAGCAAGGAGGCAATGAAATAAGGGAAAGACCAAAGTTCAGTACTGTGTGTTTGGTGACAACTAAGCTGCCAGTTATATACAAATGATATTGTCACAGTCAAGCTCCAGAAAGAGCTGTCACTCTATCCCGTGTAATGACTTACAAATGACTGATTGTCTGCCTAAAGCTATAATCATGTGATGGATAACTGAAACAGAAGAATGCAATCGCTTTATCTTAGAGTGACAAATTTAAACTACTGACTTTACTGACAATCTGTTTTGACTTGTATTACTTTGAAACTACTACAATTTCTTTTAAAAAAAAAAGCCTAGCTCTCATCACAAACTCCCTGAGCTCCCCCGAATTTTAAAAAAAAGTTGTCATGGCAAAATCACCGCCAGTCTTTATAGAGTGCGCACATGGCTTTATCTGACCATCTTTTCACCAACTGTAACAATGTGCTACCATTGTTTCGTGCAAGATTAGAGCGACATTGTAAGCAAGCCATTAGTTCCCAACCCAATTATAATGTATAGGATGTTTATCAGATTTTGTGGGTGTGGTTGATTCTTTAAGCAACCATTTCAGACGAGCAGAGAGACTTTTTGCTGAAATTATGTGCATACATTTAGGAGTCTGTTTTATAAGGGGTGGGGGGTAGTGAAGGAGGACATGCAGAGGTTTGGTGTGACAGGGGTAGGGTGGGATGGAGGCAGATGATCCACTGTAACAAACCCTAGAATTGTGTATGTATGATCCTGATTAGAAGTTGAGAGACTTGCCTTTATTACAAATGCACAACACTATGTTTACTAAGGATAGATTGTTAAAATCAACAAGTAAAAACAAGTTATAATCATTTAATCAGGAGCTATCTACACTGACGTGTCTCACTAAAGACCTGAATCTATTTTTTTTTTCATTAAGCTGTTATAAAATTTCATCTACTGTCCTTTGTTCATCCTGGCATGCTTAATCCTCCACTGGAACAAATTTAGGACATTTGTGACTGTCCATACAAGCATTTGCCCAGTCTTACCTGAACAAATAGACTGATTCAATACAGTATTACAGCATATGTGTTTGACTGTTGAAACGATCATTCCTCTGCCCCGCGTGTTGAATTTTATTGCCTTGTGCATTAAAAGAGGCACTTATCAGCTGACAGATAACGGACAATCAGCACACTGCTGACACAATTCATAAGACCCGGTTAGGAGAAAGGATTGTCAAACAAAGGCTTGTGTAGGCAAACACACTCTTCAGTTGAGGATAACTGCAGGCAATAGCTGCGAGAACCCCTAGGGAAACAAACCTGAAGAACAAAGAAAGTGTTGCATTTGGAACAAGTTGACCACGCCTGATTGCTCTGCTGACAGTCAGAAGCCATCTGCAAATTAAATTTACACAATTTGAGCTGCAAACACTTAAATTTAATCACTGAATATTTATTGAGTGATGCTAAAAGATAAAAAAAAACAACAACAACACTATCTGTGGTGCTTGCTTTGTGCAGTCTACTTCATTAAGACTGGTTGGCTCCATTTAGAGCAATGAGGTCTGGACTGGTAGGATTTCTGCTGCGTGGTCCCACACCGCTGCTGGCCTCTGGGGCTTCACAGACGGTTGCAGTTCCCTTCTTGTCCTGGAAAGTATGCAAATACTACCTGTTTAACCGGTTACCACTTTGACCATACTTATCTAGGGAAATTAAATGCTGCCACGTCTCTGCGCATGTGTGTACACATGCATCTGCACGTCTCATTCGCTTTAATGTGCATCATAATTCTCTTGATGACCCTTTCACTTCACATTTCAAACGAGGTCCAAACTAATTAGCAAAGGGAGCTGGGTGTCTGTTAGTGTAGCTTTAAATCCTCTAGAAAGAGCAGGAACAGAGACTTTACATTGTTCACTCTGCAATGTGCTCAGCTGTCCAAGGCACAATCTACCAAATTGCACATAATGGTGTATATTCTGGAAATACCACAGTCCCTTATGTCACAAAGAAACCCAGAATCCATTTTTTTTTTACATTAAATGGCAGCATCTATTCTGAAAATGTACGTGAGGACACACTGCTGATAGAAAAAAAAAAGGAACAACACAGAAACCTGAATACTTTGAATGCATATGCAAACTTTATTATTTTTATAGGACAGCGAGACAAAGCGCTGAAAAGGAGGGATTATTGAAAATCGAGATGACATTCGTAACAGGGAAGCAGTTTCTTCTGGAATGTGATTTCTCCTCACAGTTTACACCTCATTTCTGGCTGTGTGCTAAAGTGTCAGCATCTGTGTTCCCACTCCAGAAACCAACACTAGGTGTAATGAGAAAAAAAAAAGGAAACAGGGAGAAAACAACAAAGGCAGGACGGCAGATTGAATGAAGAGCGGCATACAAACAAAGGTTGTCACTAATAGAGTTTTATGAGCTCCAGACCTGCTGAAATGGAGTGTTGTGCGTGTGCAGCAGCTCTTATCGGCTCGCTGGCAGTAGGGCAGGGGAGGGTGAGAGCTTCCACACTTGCGATCCCTAAAAATGGTGTGATTCATTTTCCGCATGAGAAGGTCTCACAGGGGCGGCATCAGACCAGCCAGTCCACACAGATTTATGGACCATTAAAGCAGCAGGCCTCCTGACCACTATGCCACTATGGGGCTGGCTGCTAAGACACACTGCACCCTCATTCATGCTTGGCCACCACTCTTCATCACAGGCTAGCTTCCTCATTGTTCATCCCTTCATCAGCACCACTTTTACTGCCTCACATGAACTCCTCTCATAGTCTGTAATCCTGCTGTTCCTTTTGATGCAAAATGAATTGTTTACTGTCACCATTCTCACCTGCTCTTACCACCGTTTTCCCAATTCTTTCTCCCACTTTTGCGCGTTATTCTTTCCTTTCACAAAAAGGATAATTCCTTGAGTCGCTTGTTATATAGTCCAGAAAATGCTCCAGTACAGTTATGGAAATCTCTGACGGTGGTCCGGGCTAGCGTGTTTTTTTAGTCTAACAGTTATACAATCAGATTAGCACCATTGCAGGCACACAGACTAATGGGTCTATATTTTCAAGGCATCCTCAATCAGCTGTTTCCGTGGTGATTAATGCATCTTGTTCTCGTCTCTCTCATTTGCTAGCTTTGCAACTTCATCATCCCTAGGAGTCGTACTGGAAGGGGGAAAAAATGGGGCAGAGTCTATGCTACTCACCGGCCCTAATAGCTCAGTGCGCAAGAAAACAAAGCCACAGTAACCTGAGCAGAAACTCCAAAGCATGAATGAATGAATGAATAAATATAATCACATTCAGATAAATCACTTCACCTTTGTTGTTGCTGGATGAATGAAATTTTTGCATTAAATGCTGTACTCCAGCTTTTGTGTGTGTGTGTGTGTGTGTGTGTGTGTGTGTGTGTGTGTGTGTGTGTGTGTG